GCGCACCTTAGTCCTCAATGAGATATCCTTGCTCCTCAGCACTTGAAACAGTTCCTTCGCAGTTGACTTTCCCAATGCTACATGTCGTCTAATGTCCTGACTGCTGCTTCCGTTGGCATCTTTAGTTGCTCTCTAATAATTGGAGGGAGGGTTATAGTCATGGCTCCTTCTTGAATCTGGTGAGGGTCTCCTCTCAGCTTTGACTGTCACCCAGGCTCTCCTAAGCTGACCAGCTAGCCTAGAGCCCCTTGTCATATATTTGATGAGGGCTCCCAGGAGTGATATTTGAACTGTCAGCATGGCCAGTGATGATGGGAAGGGATGCAGTTTCTGGGCAGGATCCTGGAGGCACTCACGCTGTGCCAGGTGTGGACCTTTTTATTGCTGGATGGTGGTCAGGATGTGTGTCCTGGAGTAGATCCTGGTCCTGGATGAAGTACTTGGATAGCAATTACTTTTTAGCAGGCAGCTGCAAATCTGTTTTAGGGGCAGCCTAGGGAAAAGCTGTTCTGGACAGTTGTTGTTGTTGTGTGCCGTCAAGTCAGACAGACAGTGGGTGCCTGCAATAGAGTGAACAGATAACGAGGAAGGGGAGGCTTCTTCCTTGGCCTGGTTGTCACCAACTCTTGTCTCTTGCTGCTACTCCAGCTCCCCCTATGCCCCGTGCTTAGGACTTAGCTTAGGAAAAGACAGTCATGCCCTCCTCCAAAGCTCTATCTGTCTTACCTGCACACCACTGTCCTAGTGTAATTTACTGGAATCTTTATTCTTTCATTCTCAAATACCTTCTGTAAGGGTCACAAATAAAGTCATATTAGGTAACATTTTAGTGTTCAGTAATACCTTAAAAGCAGTTTGTGTAGCGTGGATTCTAACCCATGGTAACCAACTGTGTCAGAATAGAACTGTGCTCCATAGAGTTTCGATGGCTGACTTTTCAGACGTAGGTCACCAGGCCATTCTTCAGAGGATTTGAACCTCTAATCTTTCAGTTAAGAGCCAATTGTATTCACCATTTGCACCATCCAGGGACTACAATGACCCATTGCTGTGAAATCAATTTTGACTCACAGTAGTGGAAAAGCATGGGGTAGAGCTGCCCCAGTGGGTTTACAAGGCTGTAACCTTCATGGAAGCAGACTTCTGCATCTTACATCTTCCTCCCATGGAGCGGCTGGTAGGTTCAAACCATGGACCTTTTGATTAGCAACTAAGTGCTTAACCATTTAAAATACTAGCTACCCAAGGAGCAAAAGGTAGGTGAGCATAAGAAACACATTTCCCCATGGCCCAGCTCTACCAAGGCCCTTTGGAATCATCTACACTTAGGCCTTTGGTTACTAAGTCCTGGTGCAGAATTCTGCTCTTAAACGAATGATGACATCTATAATCACAGTGAGTAATGTGATGAAGAAAGCATTGGCTTTCATAATAAGCTCAAATCCAGCTTCTCTATTTACTGGCAATGTGACCTTGGAGAGTTCCTTAATCTCTATAAGCCTCGGTTCTCATATCTATAAAATGGACAAAATAATAGTATCTTCCTTATAAATGTGTGAAGTAAAAAATGTCTGTGAAAACTGAACATGTTGCTAAATGGTCATTTTTTTTCTTCCCTATAAAGAGGAGATTTATTGAACTAAAACATAAATTTTAAAAAGGTTATTATAAATGTGTTTCAGTACATAGTTACGGAAAGAAGGAACAACTGCTCCCTGCCAATTTGAACCTCAAATATTTTCCCATGATTTGTCTCATAAATGGAGAAGTGTAAGTTTTGTGACCACATTTTCAGAAATCTGTTTTCTGGTTTCTGATTTGAGCTTCACTAAAGAATGAAAGGGATCATGCTGCCAACCTCATTAGTTCAGTGCTGGGTGGACTGGGATCCAAGTCAGGTGGACAGGACTCGGAAACGGGTGCCTTGGTGTTAGAGTATAGAAGAGCTGGATTGAGGGGAAGCAAACACTTGAATAGCTCAGTCTCATGTTTGCAGTGCCATGAGGATGAAGGGGTTGGACCTGGAGAAGAACTGTAACCTGATATAAAAAGCATATCTGAGTTAAAGAACAAGTGTTAATATTAGCACTACTCCTATTTCTTTTCTGAAGAACCAAAGTGAACATTGTTTCCCAATCTTGTCTTATGGTTGCCTGTGGTTGAGAAAATCTTCAGCTCTACTCTGTCAATACTTGTTTTATGTTTAATTTGAGACACACAACCCATTGGGATTTCTAATTCTCTGCATTTACCCCACAAGATCTGTGGTTTACATAGACAAGTTGAACAAAATCTGCAACTCCCAAGTTAAAATTTTATGATGTCAAAATTAGCACCAAAAATGTTTAAAGGTGATATTTTAAAGATAATATTTAATACTGCTGAAGATGTAGTTAGGCTCACTCATACTGCTGATGGTAGGATAAATTGGTATAAACTTTTTGGAAATGAGTTGGTAATATGTATCCAAAGCTCTAAAAATGTGTATAGCTGCCTTTTAGAAATTTCACTTCTAGTGATAAATCCCAAGGAAATAATAAAAGGTATATGTACAAGTTTATGTTTATGAAAATATTGTTTATGATAGCAAACCATGGAAACAATGTAAATGTTCAGTATTTGGAAATGATTAAAGTCTAGCATATCCAAGGTAAAGATGATTATTGAACAGTTAAGTGTAGTTTAAGAAGAATTTTTAGAGACATGGAAGATTTAATACAATGTAGAAAGAATCTGTAGTTAATTAATTAATGCACCAGATATTTATTAAGCACCAACTGTGTGCCAGACACTGTCATCAGTGGACAAAACAGAATTTAAAAGTGCTTATAGAATTTATATTGTGGTGGGAGATGGTCAGGAGGCATATAATAAACAACAGTTTTAATAATAATAAATAACTGAATAAATAACTGAACTACATAGCATGTTAGAAAATGGTAAATGCTACAGAAAAAAAGAAAAATCAATCAAGACAAGGAGCATCAAGGGTTCTGGGGTGGGGGGCACTGTGATTTTAAATGCGGTAATCTGAAGCAGACCTCATTGTGAAGGCCGTGTTGGAGTAAGAACTTGAGGATGTGAGGCCTGTTAGCCACGTGGAGATGTGGGGAAGAGCTTTAGGCAGAGGGAATAGCAGGTGTCAAGGCTGCAAGGATGCAAAGTACTATAAACGGTATGATCTCAATATTGTAAAATACATATACATATTTATATATTCTTATACAAGGAAGATGTTTTTGAATTCTTATAGCTTCTGATTCATTTTCATAATTTCTCTCACAATGGTTTTGTGATTATTTTTCATCTTCTTCCAGAAGGGTAATTATTAAGATTTATCAGCATTCAATTTTATAAAGTTGAGTTTGAATGCATTCATTCAGATGAGAGTTGATAAAAGATTCAGAGTGTTTTTCTAGAGGATAAGAAGGAAGACATAACACTAACCCATATTCCTTTTCCACTAGTATCTACTGATGATGGTAGTATCTCCTGACAGCCTAGTTTCTCCAAGAAACATGAGAATTATGAGATTTGCCAAGCTTGAGAAGAGTGTCCATCACTGCAGTGTTAGAGCAGCCTCACTGAGAATGACGCCTTGGTCAGTAGGTTCAAAGCAGGTGCTAGTAGCAGGAAACGTCCAAGGAGGAACAGTGAATAGGGGCATGGATAAATGATTAGTTTTTAATATCCCATAAACTAGACTGTAGTTAGAGTTTGAGAAACATAATCAACTGCAATCTTAGTTTACTTTAATTGCACATAATCTCCCTTGAAAAAACATTTATTTATCAAAGAGTAAAATGCTTTCATTTTTGAAGTAATGTCTTTGAAGTAGAATTTATCACACCTCTATCATTAGGGTAGAAAAGGTATTCATCTGATTTTTCAATACATTTGGTTCCAAGCAATAGTGATTTTCCCCCTTATTTTCTAATTTAATGGCTTCATTCATTTTTTTTCTAACATTTTTTTTGGGTTACATCAGTATTTCTCAACATATTTCTCCATTCCTCCCATCAAAACAGACAAACCTCAACATATTGTTGCTCTGTTTATTTCTCTTCCTAAAAAAAATTAAATAGAGATGATTGGTGCTATCAACTTAACATTCACGGTCAACATTCCAGTGACAAATTAATTGACGCAGTTACCCGAGAGGAAGCAAAATCTATAAGGGAACAGGTTTCTGTTTGGAAGTTCCCTGAGAATATTATAAACAGAAGAGGGAAAAAAAAAAGTGAGCTCAGAAATGATTAACACCCTCAGTTAGTGCCAAACACACAAAATCTTTCAAGCCAAATTCCTTTTAAAAGTTTGTAGTTGGCCAGCT